CCCGAGCCAACACCTCAAGCTTGTTGTTGTTGCGCTTCTCAAACAATTCATGAACTGTTTTTGCTTTGTGGCAGGGTACGTTTTTCTGCTGAAAGAGGCAATGGCCATCAGGGAATACCATTTCCATGAAAACGTCTACATGGCAACAATGCTTAGGTAGATGCTTGTGCCACTCCCAAAGTTTGCCCAAACCATCACATTGCCTTCTTCTCATAGTGCATTCTTGTGCTAGGTGTTCCTGAGGTAAGTGACGCAACTATTCATGCGATGTCAAAGAAAATGTGATTCATCAGATCACCTTCTTCCATTGCTCCATAGTTCAGTCCCGATGCTCACGTCTCCTTCGTTGGCGCTTTAGGCGATGGACATGGGTTACCATGGGCACCCTGACTGCTCTCTGGCTATGCAGCCCCAAACGCAACAAACTGTGTAACGCTATGTATTCTGACACCTTTCTATCAGAACCAGCATTGACTTTTTTTGGTGGTTTGAGCAACAGTAGCTTACTGGTTGGATTGGTTGGATCAGACCACACAGGGCAGCCTTCACTACCTACCTGTGTCAACAAGCGTCCCATGACTGTCACTTGTTCATCACTGTTCCTTCCTTGGACCACTTTTGATAAAGGCTGATCACTGTACAATGGGACCGTCCCACAAAAGCAGCAGTTTCAGAGATAGTCTGACCCGGTCATTTAGCTTGCCCATTTTTCCTGCTTCTAATACATCACATTTTTTGCCTACCCCATATTAGGTTGGCTGTAGCTCAGGAGGTAGAACAGGTCAGCTGCTGATCGGATGGTTGGTGGTCGATCCCTGGCTGCCCAGTTTGCATAGCCTGACTTGCTCTCTGATGCATCCATCGGAATATGAATGATAGAGTTAGAAAGCATAGATAACAGTGCTTGTGTGGGAGAGTAGAAAAGTACTGTATAAGAATCAGTCCATTTACCATTATTATTTAACAAGCTTGTGTTAAAATGTTATGCCTGATTGGTGTATGTCTTTAATGTATGTATTTTACTTTAATCACAAATTAGAAGAAACAGTTTTGGCACCAACACAGAACATCTGGATGCGGTCTCATGGCGTCTATTCCACATAGTAAAGGACTTTAATTGAGGTTGATCACGCTATCATTCATGTTGAAAAATGACGGGTACAGTGCTTTAAAATATTATCCCAGCAGGTCCTGACCATATGCCAGTGATAAGATGAGATGAGTATATCCAACATTTCATTTAATTCAGTTCTTTGGAATTGCCAGAATATTAGGCTTTATTTGGAAAAACATATATATAGTATAGATGGTAGCTATTATAGATAATAAACTCTTAATACAGTGACTGCAGATTGACCCTGATATACATTTATTCATATCTAGATAGCTGCATTATTTATATGTCATTAGTGTCATAATAAAAAGCTAACAAAAGGCTTCTAAAAAGGGAACCAAGCCTCATGTGTCCCTTTACTGAGGAGTCTGATGGTCATTCCCGAGCACAGCTCTGACATGTTAGCTCCCCGCTACAGCTGAAACGATTGGTTCATTAGGTTTAAACCCCCAAATTTCATATTATTTAACATTATATAGGTATAGTAGCAATAATGCTTTGAGAAGGACACTGCTGTGAGAGTATGTAGCTGCATACTAAACCATGTGACAGGCGCCGAGACTATATTTATACATTTGAGTCACGGCTCCAGGTTCAACCCACCTCTTCAATCTTAATGTTGTGTTATTGAACAGAACCCTTCAAACATTCAAAGAGCAGACGTAACATCATCTTTTACATTTGTTTCCGCCCTAAATCATATTTGATTCAACTCTGAAAGCTAACAGATCGATCACACAGCTAAACTGAGTTTCATTCATCTCTGTATCGTGTCCAAAATCACATCGGTCGGGCGTCTTTGTGCAGAATCTTTCCAGTCTTCAGCCACTTTAGAAAACTACAGCATGAGTAATAACATAGATCAAAAACAGGCAGAGAATGTAACTTCCTCATCACCTCACTACACTGGTATTACGATAAAGCTAAATCCACAATGTTCCTCTACAAACTGAATTCATGCATCCACACTCTGCTTTTCCTTATTCTCTGTCATGTATTTATTGTGGGTAATCTTCAGGACCAGGGCTAGAAGTTTCAAATAACAAGGTCAGTTTTTTCTACTCCTGGGTCTGTGTGGTGTCAGAGCCAAGAGGTTGTTCACTGTTCAAACCTGTTTCTGATGAACAGAAGCTCAGAAAAGCTGAACCAAGGACTGTTAATCAACAATCGCTAATATACAAAAATATTTTGAATCAACCCATTTTTAATGTGGGCTTTGAAAAGTGAATATAAATGCATTTGCTTTATTAAAATGATATAAAAGTGAGAGGTTTAGTGTTCTCAATTTTGCAGTTTTTAGGCTCATCAATTATTTTATTTCAGCCTTGATAATCAAAGGGTTAAAGCGGATCATCTCTGAAGAAGTGGACGGAGAGGAAAACATTTGTTAACATGGTCAGTCCAGCTTTGAGGCATTTTAGTTTCACATTGTTAAGCAGACTAGTGGGTGTCCGACTCGGAGCAACATTCTCCTTCCCGATGTTTTCACTTAAAAAGTTATCGGAAAATGACAGAGGTCAGCTTGTGCTGTGGTCTATGAAAGGGCTGCACTCAGCAGTTTATCATGCTCTCACTTGATGCACTCTCTCAGAAGCTCATACATTTAAAACCAACAAAAAAAGCTTAAAGAGGTTTATTAATGAATCGAAACACACACAGTCATCACTGTTTAATCAACGTATGTACAAAGTGCAAAGATTGATGTGAGAGTCCAACATTTAAAAAGAGAGAAAAAAGGTTTGCAGAAAGTTTAAAAACAAGATTTAACTAAACACACACGACTGCCCTCATAAAGAATCACAAAGCTAAACTAATTCAGAATATTTTCAATCAGGTTTGACGTCTGAACGAGATCACCGGACAGCTGCTGCTCTGCAGCACTGCGTGGGAGAAAATCACTCGGAGCTAAAAGCAAAGCCGTGAGAGCCGCGGCCCGTGGACGTCCTCCATTGCAGCTGCTTTACTCGTTCTCGAACTTGCTGTACGGGTGGTCCGTGTCGCCCATCAGACCTGCACACACGACGTGGAGACAAAATGAAAACAAAGTCATGCTGGGTCAAATTCTGCTCCACATTTTCCAGAGATGCTTTGGAGGAAGCGGTTGCCAAATGTACGCCGCATCAGTCCGAGGACAAACTGGGAAATCCATCCCGGATTTTGTGTCTACGCTGATGTTTCATTAACAATGAATGCAGTATGACAGCATGTGCTGCTAAACAGCCATCAGCAAGTCTTTTATACACACGATCAATGGAATTATTTATTTCTATGGGCAATGAAAACAACTGCCCACCTTATCAATTTTGCAACAGTTCCTGTGGACTTTTATTAACTGCATATTACTGTGTGTGTGTTACTTGACTAGAACGACCACGTCACTGGCAGACATCTTTGCTGATGTCTGTGGTTGTTCTGAATCGGTTTTCTCCTCCATATCTTTGCCGTTTAGAAGGATGT